AAAATTCATCTTGGACCCCTCGGGCTTCTGCTGTTTTCCCAGGCCGTGGTTCTGAAATGGCTGAAGCCTTTTGAGGATGGAGGTTGTATGATTTCCAGGCGGCTGATGGGTGCCTGAAGAAGTCACTGATAGTCTGGCATACCATTTTTATGATTTCAAGGACTCACGCTTCAGGTACAGGATTTGCTATTCCCTTCATGAAGACTTCAAGGAGGCAAAAGAAAAGAACCACAAGGTGCCGGCCCCGATGTGTGACAAGCTGGGCATTGGTCAAAATTTGGGGACATCCCACTTCATGCAGCTGCGTACCCATGTTTTTTGTGGATGTCCTTGTAGTCCTATCTATCGTCGGTGGTTCTCGAATTGTGCTCCGACATCAATTTTGGAGTCATCCACATATTTCATTTTTCTTGTTGATCTCACATGATCTTACCATCTTAGCAACTTGAACCCTCCTATTTCCCAGTTTTTTCAGTGAATCATTCTGGTCTTCGAGGCAGGCCGCGAGGCTCGCATCAACGACTTGAAGCCGGAGCCGACACCATGGGAATTCCTTGGGAATATCCGACCAAATGGCGACTGTGTGAAATTTGCCAATGGGGTTGTAACTGTAGTAACTCACTTACTCAGCTGCACAGATATGGCAGATTTTGGGATGGTATATCACAAATGGAGATTGGGATGTTGACCGGGCTTCCACTTGAAATTCAGGCAATTTTTTGAGCACCTTGGCAAGTTTGAATAGAACATAGGTATATCATGGTATATCATCGGTATATCACCTTTTTCTATCACCAATATATCGGCAGCAGGGGATAGCCATGGGAGGTCAGAGGTCCGATCCCGAGGAGACGGAGTACTACTTCAAGGTCGCTGCTCTCAATGCAGTTGGACAGGGTCCCTATGGAGAAGTCGTCATGGCCTGCTGGCCCAGAAAAACGAAACGAAAAAATATGGGCCCAATGCAAATGGGTAAAACCAGGGCACCTCGAAATAGGAGGATATAATATAGTTATAAGATGTTATAAGTTATAAATATACCATACATATATAATATATATATATGATTATATATGTATATGATTTGCTGCACTTTTTGGAGCTTCAAAAGAGATTCACAAACCTTTGCCCGAGTGACCCGAGGTCAAAACACTTCCCATGCCACCAGAGAAGTCACAAGCTGAAAAATCGGTCGGTGATCAAACGTTGAAATGACTTAGAGTTGACCGACTCATTTCTCTATATTTACGGTATAGTACGTCTGACTCAATTGCAATTCAATATGATTCAATAGATACTTTTGCTATTTTTGGACATGACAAAGCAGGTGGTTCTGCTTGTCGAGTCAGGGCTCAGATTCAACCGATTCCTCAAGGTTCATTCCGCCAAGACAACCCGCAGCACCTACGGTGCAGCTGCTTTCTGTCGATGGTGTGGAACGGCTCAAGGCGCTCTTCAGCGCTGGAAGTTGGATCAGACAGCCGAAAGCCAGTGAATTTGTAGTCACTTTATATAATCTATATAAATATAATATATAAATATAATATATATATATAATATATATATATATTATATTATATATATATATATATATATGTATTATATATAAATATATATATATATTATATATTATATAAATATAGAATTACTTTGAGGATCACATGGCTTGGAATTTTCATGAATCCATATCATTCCATATCATTCCACAGCCAGTCTTTGGAAGGTGAAGTGGACCATTCCCGAGAGCTGGGACAACCGAGTTGGCTTCATTTACGACGCGGACACGCGGATCGTGGGTCGACAAGACTAGATTCTTTCTTTTTGCGATGACACCCATATTGAAAAATGACAAATTCATGGCATGTTTAGCCCTTCAGCTCCAATAATCGAAATGGTTGTGACCTTCTTGAGCCCTTCAAAACCACTGGATTTTCTGTAGCGAAGAGTGCTGCTGACCGCCTACTGTAACCGTCACTAACCTCATGAGCTGTCAGGACAAGCAGACCCACATGATCACACACTACAGCGTGTACTTGCAGGTTCGGGTTGGTTGATGGCGCTGTGAAAGCATGGGCCAATATGGGCCAATGGTTGGTCGGTGCAGGGTGGCTATCCATCTGCGGATGTGAATGAGCACGAGGAACTCAGAGAGAATGTTCCGCAGGCCTGCAGTGTTCCGCAGCAAACATGAGGTCGAGAGTGAGTCGAGATAGTCGAGAGCGTTAGGAGAGCGTTAGGTTTTTCATGTTTGTTCCTTATTCCTTAGTTATTCCTTTGATTTTGTTGCCTTGGCAGTCTTGGCAGGTCCGAGATTTTAGGACAAGACCGAAGAACAACTCAAATGTCTCTTGGCTTTGAACCATTTCGAAGGGGATTTGCAAAGTTGAAGCACTGAAGTCACTGAAGCCGCTGAAGCCACTTAGCAATGACTCAAAAGTATGCACCCTCAGTTTGCAGTCACCAACACGTACCATCCCCCCAATTAATATAGACCCGATTTGTTTAAACATGTCTTCGAACCCCCAACTCATGGCATTGCGTTACCTGGGGAGATGGTAGTGAACCCTGGTGGCCCATTGGTTCCCATTGGTTCCCATTGGTTCCCATTGGTTCCCATTGGTTCCCTATTTTTGAGCCATGGCTGCCATGGCTCTCCAGGTTGTGACCTTTGAAGGATTGGTGCCTGGACGTTACTACCACTGCATCGTCAAGGAGGGGGCTGAACCGCCACATGGTCGTTTGACCTATGGTTTATGGAGGTCATCAACGAATCTGTGGGAAAATCCATGAGCAACTAGCCAATGATATTTGCCCTACGATCATTTTTGGCTATGAAGATTGGTAATCATTGATATATATATATACATACATACATATGTACATTATATATGTACAATGTATACCTGTATATATATATATATACAGACAGACAGACAGATAGATAAGATAGATAGATAGATGGATGGATGGATGGATGGATAGATAGATGGATAGATAGATAGATAGATATATATTAGCCATTTTGCCGTGAAAAGCAATGGATTTCAGGGTGACCTGACCAGCAGATCGGCATGCTGGTGACCGTGTGGGGATGCTAGGCGTTTAGCCAAGCGGGTGAGTCTCCGTGGTCCTTGCCCTCAGAGGTGTGGAGACGAGGGGTTTACTCCCAGCGAAAGACACATCCCCCGTTTTTTATATGGAAAATGGTGATTTATAGTGGGTTTTCCCATTAAAAATGGTGATTTTCCATAGTTATGTTAAATTACCAGAGGGTAGATTCTATTATACAATAAATGATCTAGTTTTTATAGTGCAGTAGTATTGGATACTCTATCAATATTCAAGATTCACAGAGAAATCCACATACATATACGTACTTTGAATATTGAATATTGATACTCCATGTACTAGGTTATATATATATATAACAATATGTATATATATATAACAATATGTATATATATATATATAACAATATGTATATATATATATACACAACATCTGTCGATTGGTAAATAGTTTCACATACACTATACTATACATACAACCTATAGATACTATACCATTTTACATAGCTAATGCATATATATATACACATACACACACACACATATATATATATATACATACACTATATTCATCCATACTTCCCACGCTTGTCATCGCCAGGTGGTCCGTGCTTCCCCTGGACGTCCCAACGACATCGCGGAGGTTCACGTGGTGGGCACCACCTCCACCTCCATCACGGTGAATTGGCCCAGCCATGTCCTCAGTGCTGTTGGAATGGTAAACTGAGGGTAAACCCCAGAAATATGTGGTTGGTTTACCAAGAAAAGATTTTTGGAATGTTTCTGGGGTTTACCAAGATTTTCCCAATTTTTGTGTGTTTTTGGAGAGTTCTCAAAGTTTGGGGAATGTTTTTGAGGATTGGGGGATTGCAAAGTGAAGTTTTTTTTCCGTAATTTGTGGTCCGAACATGTGGTGAGGTCCATCTGGCAATGGAGAGTCGGTTCAACACTTCTATGTCCGGTGTAGGGAGGTGCGCTAATGGCAGCCATGGTGCTATGGTGCTTGGGGATTGGCAGAATGGAGAAACATCGTATGAGGTTGTCTGAAAGGAATATACATTGATATGTGTGTTGTATGGATGGGTTTTGGCATGTTGAAATTTGGGGATCTCAATCTTTGGAAAGGGCCAGGTCATCAAGTGCAATACAGCAAAGATGGCAACGATGTCAATGTCAACCAGCAGACTTTTGATAGACTGAGGAAAGGGCATTAATCAATTCTCTCTGGCATTTGCTTTTCAAAGTGTCCTCTCGAACACAAAAAGATCAGTTTTTCCCTGTTTCCTGATTTTTGATTAGAGGGATGATTTAAGAAATCTCCCTTTTACACCGTTACACCGTGTTACACCCATCAAAAACTCATGGTCCAATTAAATGGTCCAACGCATCCCAACGCATCCCAGCGCAGGTGCGAGTGCTTCGGGGCTGGGAAGGTGGAAGTCCAAATCATCCTGAACACAGTGATCCGACGGCAGGCGCGGCCAGGTGAAAACGTAGGGCAGATTAGTTGTGTTGTGATATTTCATTGTAGATATTGTAGATATTGTAGATTGGTTGGGACATGGGACCAGATCTACAAATCTATGGCGATGATTTGTAGAATCTGACTGTCTCAGCTTTTAGTTGTGGCACTAATCACTCAGCGAACATGAAAGGCGTCCATCTGACATATCTGACATATCTGACATATCTGACATATCTGACATATCTGACATATCTGACATATCTGACATATCTGACATATCTGACATTGCGTGAAGCTCTACAAACTTCACCCTGGCAAGGCCAATATGAGGACGTCAATCGATGGTGGACCAATGCAGCAGTCTCGGTACCGATTCGGCCACGATTCGGCCACCGGGGCCGCCGGGGCCTTTGGGCCGTGACCGGGCACCAAGGTGAAGATCCCCTTCCGTCGCGAAATCGTGGGTGATGGTGATGATTCGGCCATCGCAGAGAAACGTTCCTCAGTGCTGGGTGGTGACGTGCAAATCTACGTGGCCCGGGCATGGACGGATCAGAGAAATCGTGGGATCTGACTCTGAACATGGCAGGTCCTTGAAGGCCTGCAGCCGGCCAGCTACTATCAGCTGGAGGCGAAGCCGGTCGCTTTTTCTCTTTTTCTCTTCTTCTCTGTTGTGCTTAGGTAACTTAGGTAACATATGGTAACATAGGTTACTCAAAATCAACCAAATGATCCAAAATGATCTAAAATGATCCAAAATGATCCAAAATGATCCAAATGTGCATGGAATGTGGACGATCCAGATGACTTGGTAGATCCATGGTCCATCAGGCCGTGGCTGAGAACATCATTGGCCTGAGCGATCCCACAGTCTCAGGGCGCGCTGAAAGTGTCACTGGTGTTGTAAAATGAATTGCCAACCAGCGGAAATTTGAAGTCACACAGCAATCTTTTACATTCCTAGAGTTCTATGTCGACTCTATGTCGACTCTATGTCGATTCTATGTAGTTACTTAGGATGTTCAAAAAGTTTTTTTAGGCGCTTCGCTAAGACATTAGAGCCCTTTTTGTGCAGGGAAGTTCGAACACGATCGACTGAACCGGGTCCACCTGGTCGCTGTCAAGGAAAACCAGGACTGGGCTGGGCAGCTCTCTTTTAGACGGGGGATGTAAGTCTCCATGGAAAATCCCCTTGGGAAGTGGATCAGGCAACAGATTGCAAACCCCTAACCGGACCCGAAACCGGAAAAAAATCCAGGCGAAGCCGATGGTGTTTCAGGAGATGCCACCATCTACTCGGTGAAGTTCCACTGGAAGGCACCCACTTACCACGGTGGTGAGGACATCTTGGGCTACGAGGCCGGGTTGGAATGGCAGGAAACCCAGGAAAGCCCAAAAATTGATGGCAACACATAGAGTATGGTTGGTACATGTTGGTACATTTGATGATTGAAATCCGCCCGCACCGAAGGTGCTGGGGCGTGATCTTCCGGATGGCACTCGTAAAAGGTTACAGGTTTACCTGGGGGGGGGGGGCATTTTTCGGCCAAAACCTCCTGTTTTTGATAGGTCGTGACGCTCGCCTTCAAAAAACACTGTAAAAAACAGTACGGAAGACACCTGTTCGTGAACGCGCCCGTCCAAAATCGGCAAGCGAAAAGTGAAAAAAACCCCGTGTTTTTCAACTTTTTGACCTCAATTTTTTGGTTTGCAACATCTTTTTTTGCGGTTCCGCAGGTGGCCGGGCCCGGAGGCGGATTTTTGAGTTTTTGGACCCGTTTTCGGACTGATTTTCGTCGTTTTGTGATAGCAGAAACACTGGTTTTTACAGTGTTTTTCTGTTTTCTGCATGCTTGACGGCTAGCTTCAAAACTTCCAAAAACCTCGTAAATTACGCTGTTTTATGTTACGGTGTGAATGAAAACATCGTAAATACCAGTGTTTTTTGACGTTGGTTAAAAACACACTGTAAATTACAGTGTTTTTGGCCACCTGACCCTCAAAAACCATGGTATTTGCAGTGGTTTCTGCTTCTCACCGCGCAAAAACACTGTAAATAACAGCAATTTCGCCGTTTTTTCATGTTTTTCGTTATTTTTTGAACTGCGTTGGTCCGCTATACATGGCTATCAAATTCTTCGCGTTTTTTTTTCCGACAATCAGTACTTTCGGATGTTTTTGGTCTCAATGGCCGACATCATTGGCAGTTACGAGCGGCTGCCCAACGATGCGGTGCGGGCGGTTGCCGTCGCGAAGCGACGTGAATATATTGAAATCAATTGGTACCAGCTAGTGAAAGACATTTGAATTTCTATAGCTTGGGAATTGGCACCATGGCCGTGAAATCCACCAATTGGCACCATAGTTTTCTGATTTGGAAGCAAGAGGGGAACGAAAGCAGAGTAGTTTCACTGGAAGAATGTTGATGATTTCAGTGAAATCGAGTGATTTCCCATTAAAAAAATGAAAAATCAGCCAAAGTGATATCAACATAATATTAACCCATAAAATCATCAAATTTCCCATATAATCATCATCAATGATAGGGGATCGTTTACCCAACCCGCTACCGATGTAGCGGCTGTGAGGTCCGGTGGATCTCCAATGAGGTTGGCAAAGCTGCGTGCCTTGGCCGTTGATGAAGGCAGTGGACTACCTATAGAAGGTATAGAATGGGTATACAACATATATATGTATATAATAGATGTATAGAACTTATATATAATGTATAATATACCTGGATATATATATAATGTATACTAAGTATCCTATATATATATAATAATCCTGGATAACAATAGATGTATAGAACTTATATATATAATCCTCCTTGGAGTAACCCTTTATAATAGAGGACTTGGCGGTACGATTCTCTAGTGGGCAAGCTGGGTTTTCATTTTATAGAAGTGGCAGGGGGCTGTTAGTTTGGCAGGGTTTGCATTTTATAGGAAACATCCCCCTCGTCGACTTGGGTTTTTGAATTAGTCTCTATAGAATTGTGCCCCCAGGTTTGGTTCGAATTCCAACAGGAATTATTTGTATATATGTATATAATGTAGTATTATATGATATGATATGATATGATATGATATGACAATGATATAATATTCTATTAAATTGTATATATATATATATAAAAGTATATACATTCATGATTATCAATCTGCAAACGCAATCCCCACTTTTTCAAAGCCATATTTTTTGCTCGTCATCGCTCGCCATCACCACGTCTCTTCCAGCGACGAGGCCAACGGATCTGGATCTCTTTCTGAATTCCTCCAATCGCTTCATCGTGGGCCCCGACTGCTTCGAGCTGGTGGCCGAGGTGCGTAAAGGGAACAAAGCCAATAAAGCCATTCAGAAAGCCAATATGCCAGAAGTATCCAGAATTTATGGGATGAAATTGGCCTGATTTTGCCAGGTAATCTCTGAACTTGGGCTATTTCACGTTTTTTTTGGTACGAAGCACCACTTTAAAGTGAAATTCCACTCGCCAGGGGCTACACCCTGGTGATGCTGCTGTGCCCATTGTTCGAGCGTGGACAGAAGTTGGCCATGGAGCTACAGCCTCAGTTCATCGGTTCATCGGTTAGGTGATTTTCTGCTCAGTTTTTTTCCCCCGCCAGGTGAGAGTCTAGATTTAATAAAGGTGCAACTCCTTCCTTCCTTCACTCGCCGCTACTCCAAGATACTCGTAGAATGCCAGAAAGAACGTCATAAAGAGTTTCACAATAGAATGCCAGAATGTATGTCAAAATAGATGTCAGATAGAATGCCAGAATATCAGATAGAATGCCACGGATTTTTATCACTCGAAGTAATGTAAGATTTGAAAGGGGAAACACGGCCGGTTTCTCAGGACTGGTCACTTCTGCCCAGCGATGCGGAGATCGAGGAGCTGCCGTTTTTCAAAACCATTCACAAAAAGCGAATGAACATGGGATGTAAACCAGCCAAATGGCCAATTAGCTGGTTTAGATTCAAAATTATTCAGATGATGGAAAAGCTTGCGTGCGACCAATAAGAATTATTGATTTCGTCAATAAACGTGGCGCAACGAGCAACAAGACTGGAAAAAAACAATGATAGTTCTTGCAGAGGTTAGCCAATGAATACGGGGATATGATAAACAAAGCAACAGTCAAGTTCTGTATCTATACATCACTATGCAACGAGTGTATGTTGTGATTTTAACACAGTCCACGCTTTGACCTTTATGGAACTTTGCAGATATGGAGGACCTCTCTTCCCGACCTGATTTTCCTGCCGAGATCACTACGGCACCGGTGATTGAAAGGAGCGTCCGGGACTGGATCTCACTGGGCAAAGCGCAATCCAAAACCATCCAAAACCATCCACAGGATCCTGGTTGAAATCCATCACTTTTGCATTGTTTCGTACAAATCAGTGGATGCTGTATTTGATTTGCTATCTTTGGCAGGACAGCTGCGGAAGACCACAGGTGATGGCCCTGGCGGTGCACATGCTTGGTAGGTATATGGGTTCACACACTATATATATATATATCTATTATATATACATACAGTGTATATATATATATTTATACAGTATAATATATATATATACACATCTGTCTGTCTGTCTGTCTTTCTATCTGTCTGTCTATCTATCTAGCTATCTAGCTATCTATCGATCGATCTATCTATCTACCTATCTATCTATTTATTTATCTATCTATCTATCTATCTATCTCTCTCTCTGTACATATATATATATATATATACACGTATATTATATATGTATTCATACGGGAGGCATATCATATATTCCCAGCTATTGAAGTGAATATGACAGCTTCGCTCAAGCTACTCTTCCTGGAATGGGTGCGAAGGCTATACTCTTTGAAGACAACCTGGGCGTGTCCGGACATGATGGGCCGACCCATATTGTGCCTTGACAGCACGGGCTGATTTGTCGATCACCACAGATGAACATCTACGCCCAGGTACTTCAAGGTCAAGCTGGGATCTGAGTTTCTGAATGTGACACAGCCTGTGTGTATCCTCATCTGTCTCTCTGAGCGTTTTCCTGTTCCTTACTGAGGCTAGTGCGCGCGGACACAGAGGAGGATCGGCAGGCGCTGAGTCGACCCTGGGTCTCGGCTATGGGTCTCGCAGTATCTCCCGCGACAAGGCCATGATCAAAGCGGGGAAGGTGCCAGCGCCAGCTGCCAGCGAAGAAGAACCACATGAGTTCACGGTGGTCAGAAGCCCACAGAGCACAGCAATGTGGCAATGACGTTGCCAGAATCATCAAGGGACGGTCATGGGAATGTCATGTAGTGCTGTACTGTACTGAGCCATGCTGTGTTGCAATTCATTTTGCGCTATGAAACACTAAGGAATGTGTACCACAGAGGCCCCAGCATGCCGCAGCAGCCAGTCACTTTGCTGAAAGCTGTGACACGATGCAGATCGATGCAGGCCTTGGGTCATGGGAGAAACCATTGAAATTGCGCGGCTGCACAAGGCTGGCATCGATGCAGCGCAGAAATTTCGCCCTTAAAACTGCCGTCGTTGCATGGTCAGAATGGTCAGTTTTCGTCTCAGGCCTTGACGCCTGGAACTCCATACGTTGCCTACGTTCGCGCAACCACCATGGTGGGTGATGCCAAGGGATGGGGTGTGGCCAGCGCCCCTCAGACTGCACCACCAGACTATCCCAGCAAACCGGAGAAGCCAAGCTGTCCATGGCAGTGGCCAACAGCGCTGGAGGCGCGCCCCTTGCCATGCGATGTTTGGGATGGTAGGTAGATATAGGATGATATAGGCAGGAAGTCACCCAAGTGGAGTAGCGGTATGACTGGGTTATGACTCGGCTGACTTTTGAGTGGGTTATAACCCTCCTACCTAGCTTATGGCTCTAATATATTCTAATATATTCTAATATACTATAGTTCTCAAGGAGTTCCCAACTGGGATCACCAGCCAGTTCCCTGGCAGTTGCCGGTACAGGTGCACTGGAAAGAACCATGGCTGCGTGGTTCGGACCTGGAAAGATGCGAGTTTCAGTACTCTCTTGACCCTGATCTGGCAAACATCGTGGAGGTGCCACATGACCAGGAGACAGCAGGAGGTATGGAATGGACAGCAAGTTGTCAAAGATCTCGCAAACAAAAGATCAATTTCAAGATATTCATGCTCAAGGAGTATCAAGGAGTAAGCAAATGGGAGAAGTCTGAGAAAAATAGGACCTATAGGGAGACCTGGAGGACTTGCATGACATGCCTTTGATTGGACTATCCCAATGTGCCTGGATTTACCTAGGGTGTCTCCCCTCAATGACAGCATGTTTCGATTCATTGGTGTTCAGTCCCTGTGAATTGCGTTGCATACCTTTTTGTCTTTGTATGTATATATATATTAAACATATATATATATTAAACACATATATATATATATTAAACATATATATATAATTATATATATATATATATATATTATATGCACACTACACACACACACGTGTATATATGCAGTATATATATATATACATACATACATACGTACGAGTATAGATAGATCCTCTAGTAGCTCCTATCGATGGGCATGGACGCTGGCCAGGTGCCGTACGATGTGGCACACAAGTCTTTCGGTGAAAAGCAGGCTGGGAGCGAAGACATGCAGGATGCTTTGAATCAATGGATTGATCAAAGTGAACGTCCACATGAAATCATGGATGTTTTCGGGTTTCCTGTAGATTTTCGGCCATTGAAAAGGGGAATCATCTGTAACGATCTCATCCTCAACGGAGCCGCAATGAGCCCACAGCTGTGTCGCAGATACATGTTGAAAACTTGGAATACGCGACGGTCTACTACTTTCGGCAGCTTTGCAGCACGAAGGGAATGGCAGTTTCGGTTCGAATTATGGGGAAAACATTTTGGAAAACGCAAGGGATCTTAGATTTTTAGAGCCCGGATGACCATCCCCTCTATTCGTGGTGTCATTGTCATTTGTTCCATGGGATCAGATGTCAGAATTGTCAGATGGTTGGGCATCGTGGCATCGTGTCATTGATCCCAGCTGGAAAACCACTGTCCTGTGGGTCCTGAGGGTTCGAATCAAGAATGCCGTCGGCTGGTCATGACCCCAGCTACGCCAGCGGACGAAACCACTGTTGAGAATGATGCAAGATGATGCAAAACTATTCACCGGACATTCATCATTCATCACCAGCATCAAGAAACCCTCATGAATCATCCATGGCATCATGGCTTTGGCTGAGAATTTTGGGTTTTAGTTTCCAACCCATATTCTGATGCCGTTTTGTGTCGATGTTTTGATGGTCAAAGCAGGTCCGAGTGGAGTGACATCTCTGAGGGCTTCATGACAGGCGCGTGCAGGCGGGACGGAAAGTTGGATGGGTTGATGGACGAAGGAGCCCTGGATCACCCTTTGGACCGAGATCACTGAGATCACTGAGATACTGACAGGTACTGTATGGTTTTGCATCATATTCTTGGGGTCACCTGGTCAAAAAAAAAGTGGCCGGTGGTTACTGCAAGTGTGGTGGATTTGTGGTGAATTTCAGGCCAGCTCCTCCCAAGCGGCCAATCCTCGAGCATATTGACATGGAGCCCTGGGGTATGGGATGTTGATCAGGGAGGAATGCTGGTTGTTCATTTGCATTGATGAAAGCATACGGGATCTATCACCAAAGGATACCAAAGGTATGTAATGAAAATTCCCATCAAGCACAAATCAATTTCACGAGTTGTTCTCAATTTATTCGCAGGTACAGCTTGAGAACGGCAAATTTGCACCAAAGCTGTTGGGATTTCTCGACCTGAAAATCGAAAGAGGAGCAGCTGGTCTTTCGATGGCCTCTGCCTGATAGCCATGGTGAGTTCCCGAGGGAAGGGAAACATCCAGCTATGGCAGCGATGCTCAGCCACGCTCTGCTGTGACTGCTGTAACTGCTATTAAGGTTGTCCTATCGACAAATACGAAGTGTTCCTTGCAGACCAAGGGCAGGTGGGGCCCTGGGTCAAAATCAGATGGTGCTGGTGGGACCTCAGTGGCACAGGTGGCAAAAGTTCCGCAGCTGGTGGAAGATTTGAACAAGTGCGAGACAGAGGAGGAGTGGCCATGATTCAGTCTCAAAGCGGTCAGATTTTCCAGGGAAATTCTCCATGTCATGGTACACTGTGCTATTGCATACCATAAATTCTCATGAATCACCTACTTTTTGGGACCTTGCAGGAGCAAAAAGCTTTGTTGGAAGCATTGCCAGTCAAAGAACTGCATGATATCAAGGCGAGATCGCGAGATGGCGATTTCTGAAGTGGTTACTGGGGACCTTTTTCTTTTGTTCAGGGATGCACTCACAATTGGAGGTCGAAGAGTTGACGAATCGAAAAGAGCCAGTTGCGGCCTTACTGCGGTGAGACAAAACCAGACCAATCGGATCGTTTTAGGACGTCCAGATTTTTGCCAATTTCCATCAGACATCTCAGATGAATTGACCTGACACTGTGAGGACCACATCTTTGAGGGTCTCTTGGGGGGACTTCCCTATGCTGTCTCAGTACGAGCACACAACTTGGAGGCACCCGACAGATGCACCAGAAAATTATCACCTGTCGGGGATTTGCCCGGCATTTTTCACGTGAAATGAAGGAAGTGCACCAATGAAAAACGTGTAACAGTGTAACAGATATATTAAAACGTAAAATACTATATATAGATATAATAATATATAATGTTTTAAAACATCAAATGTCTTTAAAACATTGTAAAACCATATTTATCATACCATCCACAACTCTGGATTGTCTTCGTAGAAATGGGGAAGGTCAACTGAAAGCATTTCAACGTGCCAGGGGTGGAGCGACTGGTCGGAAGCGCTGGATGACATCGTTTCTCCGCAGGGCACTGAGAGCTTTGATGGCTATTTCATTGCTTCTGGAGCATCAAAATTTACCGGAGCTTTTCGCAGGAGTCAAACAGGGGTTAAACATGCTTAAACATGCTTAAAAGACTGTTTTTAGATGGGAAAAAAACTTGGTGGTTTTCCACAAAAATGGGTGTTTTTCTAAGGAGCGCAGCACCGGAGGAAGCTCCTGCTCCGTGGATGTTGGAGGCATCCGATGAAAGATCCAGTTGATTCGTTGAGGTTTTGCTCGGGAAATAACCCGGGTGTTTACCGATGTGTGTTGAATCTCAATGTTGAGAGGCTCCCGAAAGTTATGGGACTTATATGGGACTAAAGTCTGAAAAAGAATGGTGTGAGTCCCAGTCTCGCCAAATGGTTGGGAAATCCTCGTTTTTTCGACCTGCAAGACGAGCCATCCAGGCCACAAAAGATTCCTTGCATGTGGGCTTTTCTTTGCCGTGCGGGCGCTCGGGTTCTGGGGGTTGAAGGTATTCTAAATGGAACGATCACCATCTTTGCTGAGCTTTCAGGTGCGACCACGGAGAACCCAAGTATGGGATCCATGGCTTTCTTCCCCTACTGATCACTCAAGCAAATCATTTTAGATGCCCTCGATTAGTGGACCCAAAGCAGTGGGACAATCAGCCAGAGAGGATTTCCACAAGGATGTGGCGTAGATCTCCAGATTTGGTATCCTTCAGGTACGACAATGGCGATCGCATAACAAAGGCGGAGGTGCGTTACGAAAGCCATCCAAAAACACTGTGCTTCCAGGAGATATTGATGTAAGTCGCAGTTTTTTTTTTACCGCTGTAGCTGTTGCAACCCTATCAACCCGGGTCGATTTTATGCAACACCATGAACCATGTGGCAGTGTGTCAAAACCTTGTACCCCTGCTGAACATCAAAATAGCTGCTAAATGGATGTTCATCCCACTAAAAATGGTATTAATAGGTATTGATCCATACCCATGTGATACCATCCTTCTGCCGGAGCGCAGACCAGGTCTGCTGGTTTCGAATCTCGGGCCCTATGGAAAGACACATCGCCCTGGGTGGAAAGGTGCCGAAAATTTCGGGGCGTCATGGCGATGGCCAGTCCTGGCCATGGCTCTCGATCGACACATCGTTGAACTGAAATGGAGTTGAACCCATTAAGATCAGATGTATCGGGTGATTGATTATGATTTATGATGTAAATTGATGTAAATTGATGTAAATTGATGTAAATTGATGTGAATTGATGTGAATGATCAATTCTGATGTAACATTTTGTAAACTGATGCTATTTTGTCAGCGCAGGTCACCGTGCCCGGCTATGGCCAAAACAAGGAGGTGGCGATTTTCTTCGCTGTGCTGTGGCTCGGTTCAGGCGGCCGTTTCTTCGTTTCTTCGTGCGCCGTGCCAGGAGGAAGAGGGCGGAACCATGGTGGACGTCCCGGCAACGGTGGAACGTGCGCTGCCCGAACAATACGGAGGTAGTCACGAGGTGCAACACGAACGGTTCGTTGTGATTTTCGTGGTCCGTGGTCCGTTGAACTTCGAAATCTAGAAATCTGTGGTTAACTTTGATGCCTTGGTCTTAAGTCATAAGGGATACATCCCAACATCACACTTATTCTAAAATTCATTAAACATCTAAAACATTCCAAAACTAGTTTCAAGTTGAAGCCCTAGTTCATCACCCCCGTGAGGCGTGGCTCACTGGTCTTCAGCCTGGAACGGAATATGAAGTCCAGGTCAGTTGCATCAACAGCCATGGCAATGGGCCTTACTGACCTGTCTTTGGAGAGAAACCACCAGGGGATGCATTGGATTTTTCAGCAATTCATCAGATTTTTCCAATGATATGAAAAATATTGAAAAATTGGAAATGAAATCTATCCATCAGCAATGAAGCTGGTCATTTTTTCCGGCAATTTATCCAGCTGAGCCAGGTCCTATTCCATTGGAATGATCATGGTTTGCGCGGCTGGAATTCCTGACATGCCCGGCAGGAAAGGGTGACCATTTCGGAAAAAAACATGCCAGAAATGGCTTTGTCAATGGGGTAAAATCTCGAAATTATAGTTTTCATATGTTTTCATGGGGAACCTCTGTTGTCAACGATTTTTTAAGCTCTGGATTTTGGGTTTCTGCAGTTTCCTTAAAATTTCTGGACAAACGCAAATGGTGAACATGCCAAACATGCCCATGGCGAATCAAGACGTCAAATATCGTCAGATGGCGTTGCAGGATTCGCCACGCTGATGCCGAAGCAGAAGCAGAGGATCACTTTGCCCCATCGACTTTCAACAGAATGTCAACAACTCAGAGCCGAAGTGACCCAATTTTCGGATCATTTTGGGTGAGTTATCGACTTTGGTATCTTTAAAAATGTTAAAAGAACCCATTCGATTTCTGTGAGGGGATTCCGATCGATATGCATGGAATGTTTCAGAGATGTATATACTGTAAATGGAGGTTTCCAAAAATGGGGGTACCCCAATAGCTGGATGGTTTATAATGGAAAATCCCAAGAAATGGATGATTTGGGGGTAGCCCCATGACCAAACGGAAACCTCTATGTAGAACTTGTTCCACCAAGGACCAGCGACATGTCTCAGGGCAATCTGTCCGTGCTGCCGCCTTGTTGGAGAATGCCAGCTATCACGTCTAGAGTTATTCGATTATAGATGACATATAGATGACTATAGAAAAGGACCAACAAACATCATCAAACATCAAAATTATCAAAATCATGGTTTGGAGGCCATGACTTGGGTCACATGGGACTTGGAGCATCACAGTTTAACAAAGATCCATCTTTTCAGGGCATTTTTGTCAAGCGGCTGGCCATCCTACACTCTCAGTCCAAGCCCGACATTTTTCTCAGTTTCCCAAACATACTGACCTTTCAAGGGAGCTTGTCATGATGTCTTAATTTTTGCCTTGAAAAGAATCAGCTGTTGATGTCACTGGATGGGTTTTATCATGAACATCTACAAGAAACATGGTTTATGTTTTCCCTTGTTTTCCCCATCAAATAAATATGTGTTTTTTCCTGTAAATATTCCCTGAAACCATTGATGATCCCACATGGGATTTCAGCCAGGACATCGAAACTCCTCCGACGCCACGCAGTACGGACGACGAGGATGAGGACGAGGACGAGGAGGAAGGTGAAGCTGAGGAAGCAGAAGCTGATGAGGTCGGTCAGAGATCGAAGTTCTTGGTGTTTTTGGGAGATGAAGTGTTCTAATGTGTTTTATGATGTTTTATGATGTTTTCTTTTGCCAAAGTACCAGATTTTGATATTTGAAGGTCGTTTCATCCAAATGACTGGAGGTAAAAAAAAATGGGTGAGAACCATCATGAACCATCCAAAATGTGGATATGTTGGGGGTGTAAACCGTCATCGTCCTCCAGTAGACATAGCTTGCTGGAAACCTCCATTTCGCCATGTGACTTGGTGTACGAGGCGCTGGAGCTGCCACCCGCTCCGCCGGTCCAATCTGGTGCCCTCTTCTTCAAGAGAACTCAGCAGCTGACGGCGCCTGATGAGGTGGATATCATTGGACCCCTCTCTGGTAGATCTGGTACTCTAAGAGTAGTGTAACGTGTTACTAACCACGGGATACCACGGGCACATCATTTGTTTTTCGAGGTTGTCAACATGGGGAACAAGACCGCCCGGCAGCGATGGTGGAGATTTCGTGTCCGACTCTGCTTTCGGCTTGTTTTGGAATGCTTTCCTTGTGCAGATGGAATAGACATGGAATAGACATGGAATAGACATGGAATAGACATGGACTAGACTCAATCTACACGCAAGAAATGATGATCCTTTTTCATTGGGTCATGTTCTTATTCTATCACAGCCATTAAAGGGATGGGTTTTTCCACATTGGATGAAGTCTGAAGACTCGCTGTTCGCAGGGTTCTGGCTTTGCGAGAGTGCAACCCGCTGAAGCTTCTGATCCTCCATGACATAGACATAGACTGTTTCACTGTCTGCCAGATGTGTATTCCGAAATGTTTGATGTTGAATTTAGCTTGAACCTACTTCTTTGGAATGAAGAGAGAACAAACATGTCGGCACACCTGTAGGAAAACGAAGATCCTTTTGTATCTTCCATTGTGTGAACAGCGCACAAGTGGCTCAATGTGCCACATGCTAACGAATGGCAATGCCTCGAAAGACGGGCAACCTGCCGTGTCGACGAAACGGTCGCGACTTCTGTGCCACCTTTGTCATGGTTTGTCCGAGAATGGGTACCCTCAAATCCCGTAATTGATCCTGATTTTCTTCATTAAATGATGTTAACGAATGTCTTAACGGTATGGAGGTACCCCCACTTCTACACAACGCCATATTTATATTCCACACGAATGGCAGCATAGATGCGATACTTTTATCTGTGACGCTTTGCAGCTGTTGGGTCACCAATTCCGTGGTCAAAACATGAAGGATGTCGGATCACAATCGATCACAAAGATAAGGGGCAAATATGCTCACAAAGTGCTAATCATATTGCAGGATTCCCTTTTAAAGGCGAGGGTCAAAGATCCGGAAATTCCGAAAACCAAAGCAGAAAGATGTGAACTGCGGCTACACAATGGATGCTTTAAGCAGTCATCAGCTTGAGGGAGCTCGGGCAGCTCTATGAAAGGCCCGCATTCTTTTGCATATCTGGCGAATCCTTTGCGCAGTGCTCGAAACTTATGAAGCCAGAAGTAGTTGTGCTTCAGCCGAACTCCAAAATGCCTTCAAGTTGATATTTTGACATGAAATGGAGTGATCTATGAGGTTTGCACCGTAAAAAAACTGTGAAACGGCTGTTTTCGCTGGTGCTGACGTTGAGTTCCCCTGTTCCCTGCCAAGGTGTTGACTGCTTTCGCGTGCAAGGAATGTGGTAGATTCGACAGCGTGGGGTCTGGACCAAAAGGCGACGCAGCGATGCCCAGAAATCTTTGAGATATGGAGGTCTACCCCAACATGGATGGTTTATAATTAATGGAAATCTGCTCCAAAAATGGATGATATGGATGGGGGTACCCCAATGACATCTCGGAAACCGCCATATCTTGAGATGGAAACTATCAGCAAACAGCGTGATGGAAACGGCTTGACGGCTTGACTTCCGGCGAGGCAGGCCGGAACGAATACATCGTTGTCGCCAATGTCGAGAGGCACATGGGAGCTATGCAGTGACGGCCAGGAGATATTTTTTTCCTCACAATTTTCGGTCATTTTGAGTGCAAACCATCCCGGATTTCCATGTCTGCTTTCATCTTACGAGTCGAGAGGGTGCTCGGTTGCCAGGAACAATCCAGGAAGTTGGTCGATGCCACAGAGACTTTTTTCCAGCAATGCAATGGGGATCAATGGGCTACATGTAGCAGCTATTAGCAGCTTGTAACCAGCAGAACCCCAATTTGGGAACATGGCCTTCGCATGCCTTGGCCAAATCTAAGGCCTACGCAAGCTTAATCTATGGTACTGGAGAGAAGTGCCCCGAGACACTGCCCCCAAAGGTGCCTCAAAAAAATTGTTGCCCCAAAGTCTAAACCAGATGCGGTCCATATCCATGATATCATATGATATTCATAAATATTCAATTGGGATGTGGGACGCCGGCTTTGGGTGCAATTTGATGCAGGTATGTTCAGGGCGCTCTGGCCTTGGGCTTCAGTCTTGAGGCCGAGTTTCGCAGTCAAAGCGCCCAAGAATGGGATGGATCACAGAAATTGCTTCCAAGGCTCTTGCTTTTTGCATTTGAGATCTTGGGCGATCTCTTATTTGTGGGTCATAAAGTCATCTCTGATTCAATATGATTTAACTTTGTTTGATTTTCCACAGTGGGCGATGGCCTTACCCCCAAAGTCGGAGGAGTTTATAGTTTGAATATGTTTGAATCAGCAATATAGCCCCCAAAAAGAGAGAAAAGTCAAAAATCCTGGCAAAATAATGGCTTAATGGTCAATGACCAAAATCATGGCTTGTCATGGCTTGTCCCCTTCTTTTTTCCGGGACAAATATATGTGGCAAACCCATCCTCGATCCGAGATTGTTAGGCCAGCGGCACCTGGCATGAGCGGGTGCTGTTGCACACCCAGGATGTGCCAAAGGAGGCCTGGGCTTCCCCCGAATGACCCGATGCTGGCGAATAGCTGGATGATGCTGGATGATGCTGGATGGTTTTGAGATCTGAAAATCACATGGATGATGCAATTTGGGATACCCCCATGACCGAGCGGACACCTCCATATAGTTATAGGATGTTATAGGATGCGATTTGGGATCCCTTCTTTTGGAAGATAATGACACATTCTGAGAATTCATGAACTAAGATTCCAGATTCAACCATGATTTGGGAGATTCTCCATGATTTTCGAACAGACTGTCAATGACATTGTGGAACCTTTTTTTGTGGCATTACAGGCTACGATCGGCATGACTTGACTTGACGGCGTCAAGGCCTTGCAGCTGCTCGGGCAATTGTGGACGCTCAAAGAGGCGCACGGAACCGAAGTGCCATGGCTGGAGGTGTAGCCAAATCTGTATCCTGGAAACATGAACATCTGCAGAATTAGGCAGTTATATGTTGCAATTGGGGGGTAGAATGGTCGCCTGATGTCGCCTGCTTTTTTGTGCAAATGTTGTCTACTTCGCTATAGATCTGATAGAAGGTACCTTCCTCATATTTCTCCAAGAGTTTTCAGCAATAAACGTGCCAAGAAGATCCCCAAAGACAAGCCTTGAATTCAAATTACCACAGAAGCGGATTTCATTTTGCCCAGAATTTGTCGTTGAGAGCCCCATAGTATAGTATTTTGCTATGTTTTTGGCAGTGGGTATTTGATTCGTATATGTTTTTGGTATCAAATCATTGGGTATTTCTGCGTATGACAGGTACCTTACATCATCTCTGCGGATGACCTTCACAAGAGCGACAAAGCGCGCTTTCGGGAGGTCTTCACCAAGTTACACGCGGGGCACCAAGCGGGCACGGCTGCCTGCGGTTGATGAGAGGTTGTGCCAAATAAGATATAAGATGATCATCAAGCTGGGATGATTGATATTGATCAATCTGAGATGATGATTATGATTATATTATGATATATATATATATATATGATATATATTATGATTATCTCAAATATATCAATCTGGGATCACAATCCATGGGACCCATGGATTGGCCACTTCCATGGCCGTTGACGACTGGTGCGACTGGTGGGCGAGGTCTTCAATCCAGATGCTGTTCCCTTTGACAAGGTGGGGATGCCCCAGGCTGGCCCCAGGCCCCATTCCGGGTCCATGCTGTGGGCGATGATGGCGATGGTTCCAGGTGGTTTTCCTGGACCTGGACATGATTGTTTTGTGTCGGCCTCGAGGGAAAGTCTGGACTGATTTTGGCGGTTCGTCACACCAGGTCACAGCCATGAACTGACTGGTGCATTCTGGATAGAATTTGCTCGAGATGAATTCTGCAGATTCCTAACACATCTAACACTGCACAAAAAAGCAGAGGGTTTACACGACTTTCCGACTCAGGCGAAACATCGACGAACTCTTCGAGTTGCGGACGCCCGCAGGAATGAGCACGGCCATCACCCAAGAAAGCCACATGATGCATCATGATGCCATCCATGTCCCTTGCATGTTGCACCATCCTGTACCATCCTGTACTATCCTGTATGCTGTGGTGTTTTCTGAGCTGACAGCATTTCTGAACTCAGAAGAAGATGGAGGGTGTCTGCCGGCAGCATCCTGATCATGGTCAGCGATTGGAACCCAGGCATGGCACGGTTTTTTTGTTGGCTGCGCTGCTGCGCTGCTGTACTGCGTCACATGTCAGGGAATGCTATGTCAATGCGGGCACAATGGTCACCCCGACGTCTTGTGGCACATGAAACATGAAGTCAGGGCTGGGCTGGGTTACTTTTTCTTTTGTGATGTTCACTCTGAGCTCAAGTGTTCGGCATCTCAGTTTCCGTCATCTTTTAGCATTCCTGTTTGTATGATAGTCCTGATTCTTCTGCATTTCTGCGATTGCTCTGCCTGCTTCAAAGTCTGCATTTTGTGCACTATTGTCACAACATGTCACAACATGCCACAACGGTGAGATCAACTTCTCAACGTTGCGACTTGGTGTTGCAACTTGGTTCAGGACATCAGACTACCAGACCCCCTCACGGTAGCATGGCATAGCATGGTGCAGCATGGGTTGTTGTACCGGGGGCAGACACGCCGAGATGAATGAGTTGACCTCGAGGTGTGCCAAAAAGCAAGACAAAGGAAAAAGCAACTTCCAGGAGAAAGGAAGAGAGATCCTCGAGATCAATGACAAGCGGTCTCAACATCGACATCATCGACAGGGAAATACATGTGACATATGTGACATGGGGCAGTGTGATTGAGGATGACATGAGCCTGGAGGATATTGCGGAAGAGGAAGAACATTTTCATCACCCCTGAGGGGTTGATGGGGTTGACATAGTCACGATACCATGCCTTGTTTGTGGTGCCTTGTGCAAGAAATTCCTGGCACTTTGACACCTGGCGCACCTCCAGCGGAGGATTTGATCACCTCTGGGATGCCCACTGACTCATGAGTTCCTGATCCTTACGGCAGAGGGGATCTGTAGTGAGGGAAACCCACCCAACCAGCTGTAACCAACTGATTGCAGTTGAAATGATGGCAATGTGCTTTGGACAATCAAAGTCAATGTGAGCAATTTGGACAAGAGGACATATTTTGCAGCTATGCTATGGAAGGCAATTCACATTTCTCTTCCATAGAAGTCCCCATTGATCATCATTTATCCATGGATAGTTCGATGAGTTTCCCATTTTTCATGGGGACCGTCCCATATTTTCCCACCTTTTCCCATCCGTTTTACATTCTGCCAGGTTACAGCTCCGTCCAAAGAGCTCTTCCAACTACTGGAAGCCGACGTGCCGCGGCAATCACGTTGCTATACTTGGTGAGACCTAAATATGGAGAATCTCGGAGGATAACTGTAGCACACATACTCCCTCAAAGTACCTACGTGCTACCTATAGTTATAAGTTATATATATGTATATGTATATATGTATATATATATGTATATGTATATATATATGTATATGTATATGTATATGTATATGTATATGTATATGTATATGTATATGTATATGTATGTATATATATATATGAGAGGGAGACGCCCCACGCCCATGTAATTTCCATATAAATCTCTATTTTTGACAAAGTCCCTACATAATGAGTTTTAAGACCTGTTCTCATTGCTGCAGGTTGTATCGCATGACTTGTCACATTATGTATGTATATTTATGCTCCAGTCCGTAGTTCGTGCCCTATCCTTCTAAGCTACTTGGTGCGTGTGCCCGTCATGCCTTTGGAAGCGGAAGATATGACTCTGACGTATGACGATTTGAAGGAACCCTTCGTCAACAATAAAATTAGATTCTTAAGAGGGACCTCTCTGAACTAAAAATCAAAATTATTTCGTTTTTTTGGGTTGGCTGGGGTGGAAACCAATTTTTTTAATTTCCTGAACAGCAAGGCCTAATTTCCGATTTTCTGGAGGTGGTGGCTCTGAGGTGGTGGCTCTGAGGTGGTGGCTCTGTTTGTGTAGTTTTCTTCTGAGCAAGGAATACCATCCTCTTTTCAAAGGAATGAACAAATATAATATATTGCATCCTTCTCAAGGAAACTTGCATAAAGGCATGCTGCACTGTTGTCTCTGAAAGAGCAATTGCTTATTGAAGAATGCCCTTTCAAAATAATGCTATATTTCCTGCAAGGAACACTATACTTCTTCAAATGGCAATTCCATGCATTGCGCTTTATTACAGACACATCACCCTCTTTCAAAGGGATTGTTGTATATATGAAAGGGTTCCATTTTGTACAACAACTTACTGTAAATCACACCATACTCAGCCAGATTTTTTCACTAGGACTGCTGTGTGTCTTGAAGGCTACTTCTCAAAGAGATGCTACATACTTTTGAAAGGAATATTGTGTGTAACTGTATATATATATATAGTTAATAATATCATACAGTGAATTATGCTATTTGAAAATCATATTATATTTTCCAAAAGAATAATATTTTTCCAAGTAATATGGCTTTCTTACAGACACACCACCCTCTTTGAAAGGGATTGTTGTATATATGAAAGGGCTCCCTTTTGTACAACAACTTACTGTAAACCACACCATACTCAGCCATACTCTTTCACTAGGACTGCTGTGTGTCTTGAAGGCTACTTCTCAAAGAGATGCTTCATACTTTTGAAAGGAATATTGTGTGTAACTGTATATATATATATAGTTAATAATATCATACAGTGAATTATGTTAATTGAAAACTATATTGTATTTTCCAAATGAATAATATTTATGGAAGTAATATGGCATAACACCGGTGTTTAAATCAAGATTTCATGAAACCATCAAGTACTGTCTGAAAGGAATGCCGCTTTTCTGAAAAACACTAATGTATATGCATATTTTATCTTAAGGAAATGCTACCCTTCTCTAAAAGGACTACTACCTCTATGGAAGGAATTACATATGTTCATTAAAATATATGGAAGACAGAACGCGCTTGTTCTAAAGGAATGCTATGCACATCTCTTGGTCTTGCTTTACACTTTCTCAAAGGAATGTTGCTCCCTCTATAGATGATTGTTGCCTAGAGGCATGCCACAACTTCCTCAAGAAATGCCACATTCTTTCAAATTTTCAACGATGACTTATGAGAAGCATGCTGTGGCCCTTAGAATCTGAGTTGATGCTGTACTAGGGTTTAATAACACAACATTTTTCAAAGGAACAATATGCTTACCCTGGCAAAACATTCCATATCTCTTTATGTAGGGAGCTCTGGAAGATGCAGTACTGCTTGGGGACAAAATGAAATCTTCTGTCAATCAAAAGTGCTGTTTCCTCTTGTTCATGCTTGCTATAAAAACCTGCAACATAGAAGCAAACAAAACCCTATCATTTGAGCATGGCGCAACAGGGCAAAATTGAATTTTCTCTCTGATATTCACTGGCTAAATGACATAGAACCGTTGATAGCGTTATGTAGTTTCTCGCTGTGCATGTGCAATATGTTTTGTTTCTTGTGACCCAGCTGGATGAAACTTTTTGAGGTATGCATATATATATATATCATATAGATGAGATCTTGCAGCAATATCGTTGGCATATGATATCTTGATGCAACATCCGTGAAAAAAAACGCACCCTCACAGTTCCCCGCTCTCAGAACAGGGGACTGTGAGAGTGCGCTTTTTGCACTCCTCTTTACACATTCTCTGTTTTGACATATGCATTGACTGGCAAGAAGAAAAACAAATGACACGACTCAACACTCTGCATCCTTCCCTTGGGGCATGAAAAGACTCAACTCTCTGCATCCTTCCCTTGGGGCCTGAAAAAACAAAAAAAAACAAAAAAAAACAAAAAAACAAAAAAAACAAAAAAACAAAAACAAACAAAAACACCAAAAAAACCAAAAAAACCAAAGACATGCCCCCAATGCCTACAGTCTCTAGAAATCTTTTGGTTTTTTTGTTTTTTTTTGTTTTTTTTTGTTTTTTTGTTTATTTAGACCTTTGTGGCCTATTTTGGTATATTTGGGCATGTTGTGGCCTATTGTGGCCCCTTGATGATGTGAAAACACTGCAAGAGGAAAACACTGCAAAACACTGCAAGGAAAACAGTGCAAAACGCACGGGCGCACAGCGTCCTTTTCTGATATATATATATGTATATGTATATATATATATGTATATGTATATGTATATGTATATGTATGTGTATATATGTATATATATATATGTATATGTATATATATATATAGATAAATATGTATATGTATTGTATATGTATATATATATGTATATGTATGTGTATATGTATATGTATATATGTATATATGTATATGTATATATGTAAATGTATATATGTAAATGTATATATGTAAATGTATATATGTAAATGTATATATGTATATATGTATATATGTATATATGTATATATGTATATATGTATATATGTATATATGTATATATGTATATATGTATATATGTAAATGTATATGTATATGTATATTATAATAATCTATCCACATAAATAAATAACAAACAAACAAACACATAAATAAATAAATGAATGAACGAATAAATAAATTACCGTATATATATATATAGTGAATGTAAGGCAGGCCAGGTTCACTCCCATATAGGTCATGCACGTGGGCCGGCACGGGAGAACCAATTAGCCCCATCCCGCTACCGCGGCTCAAGCTACCAACGACCGTACGATCAGACATGTACCCATTCTCAGGTTATCAGCTTGAATGCTCTACTGAGCACAAATGAGACCGCATGTCTGTTCTGGGGGGCATTGCTAAGGACCTTCCCAGGCAGATGTTGGCACAATAACCCCTCAAAGGACATCTGTTTGTGGCCTTCAAAAGTGCCTCCACCAAAAAAAAAGGTGTCGCCGCCCTTAGAGTGGGATGTGAACAGAAGCTGGCTGCCCTTACTCCCAGCGCGCCCCCTCTGTTGAGTGCAGCGCCGTCCTCCTGTGCTGACAGGGGTGGGCACAAGGGGATAACGGATTCATATATATATATATGTATATATTTATACACCTTAATGGGTGATGATCATGATCCTGATCCTTCAATGCCGGTGCAATCTCTTAGGTGACTCAGCCAGACAAAGAATGGCATGTTGAAGGGTGGCCCGGGCCTTGGCTGGGCGCAAACGCTGGGCCTCCGGGCGCCCATTCGCCCACATTCGCCCAGGTCGCCAGAGCAAAAATATTTGCGCAGAGCCCAGAAGCTGAAAAAAATGTCTGAATATTTTGGTTGAAACTTGCTGAATGGTTTTGTATGTGTGTTGTTGAGGTCCAATGTGATGGCTGGAGAGTGGACTCATTTGAGCCAGCTCTACAATTTTGAGGCGATATTCATGAGATCGTGATTCATGACGACTCAGCTAGTGATGGCGTTGATGCCAGTGTCGCATCGTGGGAATCGTCAGGTTCAGGTACACAGTGGAGTTCCCATCACAAACACTTGGAGCAACGCAGAGGCCGCGATGCCTGAGTTTGTTTGTTGGATTCCTCCCGAAGGGTTGATGATTATTGTGTGTCAGTGTTATACGCTTACATACACTGATCATTCTATTTAAATATCTATATGTAAATCTTGTATATATATATATGTATAGGGTAATCGTTATACCCTAGATAGATAATGAAATATATATATATAATATAATATATGTATATATATATATATACTTTGACCTACCAAAACTTGGAAAAAACAGGGTTTCTCCGAAAAACCCGGTTTTTCAAACTTGACATACCAAAAACCCGGGTTTGTTCCCGAAAACCCGGTTTTTCGTGAAATACCATGAAACCGTGCCCGGCTTCATCACAACCATGCTTTTCCGCACGAAACATTGTGTGAATGATGAATGACAGATCAGGAAAACCTACTGTAAAAGATCCGATTCCAACCCCTGAGTACCCATTATTTGCATGCATTTGGGTACGCACTTGGGTACGAAAGCTCTCAGAGCGTCCGATTTATGGTATTTTGGGTCTAGCCATGATTCTTGCATGCATTTCAGACTGTTTTTTTTTCCGAATGATCTCCGGTAAATTCCAACAATTTTGGGGACAGAGCCGCTGACCGTATCACGGTCTGTCACGGCATTTTCCAACAATGCCCAAAATTTAAGTATCGTTTTTAATTTTCTGTCACGGTTCGTCACAGTTTGTCAACGCGACTACTAGGCAATCGCAAGCCAATGCGGCCTTTTTTCCGACAAAATACAATTTCCGACTGCAACATTTCGACAATGCATGCGCTATTTGGGATCATCAGAAATGACAGACATTATATTCGCATGGTCGGCATCCAAATTGAATTTCTCTCGGAACGTTCAAGTGTCGCAGGAGCAACGGTGTTGATTTTTTACTCCCTGAGGATCCGTGCGAATAAATAAGATATAAGAGCGGAAATGTATGCGAACATAGTGTCTGCCATTTCTGATGATCCCAAATAGCGCATGCATTGTCGAAATGTTGCAGTCGGAAATTGTATTTTGTCGGAAAAAAGGCCGCATTGGCTTGCGATTGCCTGCTAATCGCGTTGACAAACTGTGACGAACCGTGTCGGAAAATGCCGTGACAGACCGTGATACGGTCAGCGGCTCTGTCCCCAAAATTGTTGGAATTTACCGGAGATCAATCGGAAAAAAAAACAGTCTGAAATGCATGCAAGAATCATGGTCAGACCCAAAACAACATAATCGGACGCTCTGAGAGCTTGCGTACCCAAGTGCGCACCCGAATGCATGCAAATAATGCGTACTTTGGATCCTCAGGCAATGCTCCTGCATGCTTGCTAAAATATGTTTCTTTTGATGGGGTGGATTCAGCAACGCAAGAAAAGCGAAGAAAGGGGTGCAGCACTTCATTAGGTTTAGCAGGGCCTAGCATGGGGTCTGTTGCCATATCAGGTCGCAGTCAATGGATCTCGTTATTGTTTTGATCAAAATCAACAGAAACCATAAATATTGCCAAACCCGAAAACCCAATTTTTCAGGAAAAAACATCTTAAACCCTTGTTTTTTCAGGGTTTGGTTGCTTAATGGTTGCTTAAGGTATATATGTATGTATATACATATGTATATACATACGTACATATAATTATATATATATATTGTATGCATACATTGATTATGTGGAGAAATGACCATAACCCATGAACCTGTGAATGCCGATGAATGCCCATGAACCAAACTTTGATGATATTCCAACAGCCTTCATAGTTCCATCGTCAGGTGGCCGATGTTGCGGTGGCCCACTTTTCTGGCACCCTCAAAGCATGGGACAAGAAACCTGGTGAGGAGAGGAGCCTTTCTGTTTTAAGTGATGCGTCTCTGATTAAAACTTCTCTATTGCAGGAGTTGCCAGTTCTGGCCAGTGATTATAGCAGGTGCGATCTCGACGAATCATCACTGGTTCCAGGCCGTGCGCAACGTGCGCTTGCGCCTGGCAGGTCGCAGTTTCAGAAGTTTCCCGCGGAAGTGCAGAGAAGAGCGAAGGCCCAGGGCCCAGCCACAGCGCTTCCGGTTTTTTGAATGCAAAGTCGCAGCAAATTGGAGGCGCGGTGTAGCATTCTGCATGCAGAGTCAGCGCCCCAGTGTCTTGAACAGGCAAGGGATGATATATCTATATGATTTTAAAATGAATTTATATATATATATATATTTATAATTTGCATTTAGCAATTTCAGTGTTAGATATTTGGTGTTTTAATATGATGATCCGGGGCTGTCCTGAGATGGCTCAAGATGTACGCCATGGCTCTGAAGAGGTGCGAACAGTTGGGGCTCCCATGGGGTCCCAGGGGGGTCCCAAAGTTGACAGATGTTGAAGCAGGTGCCTGGCCGGTCTACCTGCAGGCCAGAGGGAATCAAAGCTTCTTTCCCACCAATCCTCCGGTTTTGGGATGTTTTGGCTCACATTGACATTTGCAGTTGCAGGTTTCCGCATATTTCCTGAAAACAAACACCAGGTTTTAGGGGCGGATCGCCACTATTTCACCATATTTAACCAAAACAGATCTAAAAAGTGATGTCAGTGATGTATTTCGTTACATGTGAAACGGTTTTTCGAAACGGTGAAATCCCGGAAGCTCCAGCGCTCCAGCCCGAGGCAACGGATTACTCTCCTCCTGGATGCCTCGGATGTCGAGGTTCCTGCCAGGAGAAGATGTGATGGTGGAGGCACAGTCGGGCGATGTGGCATCGAATTGTTGGATGGAAATGGATGGAAATGGATGGAACATGATGTAAGATATACTGATATACTGATATGGCAGTGTGTCAAAACCAATAGTACCCCTGTAGTTCACATCAAAATAGCTGGGATTTATGGATGTGAATAACCCACTAAAAATGGTATTAATAGGTATTGATCCATACCCATATACTGATATACTGTGTATGCAGTTGGAGTCTTCATGGGACCAGCAATGGAGAACAATCACCACGCTGACATATATTGACCATATGAGATAGGAAAGATCAAAGATGAGAAACCAATGGATCCCATTCCTTTCTTGAGGGCTCGGTCCCTGATGGTGGGGGTGTCGTTTTCAGGAACAGACTGAAGAACAGGAAGGGCTTCGTTGCAGGGCAACGGTTTCTTGGAACGGACATGTGAAACGTATGGGTTTGGGTTTGGGTCAAAATTGCCCAGGGGTAGATTGATGTAGATTGTAGATTTGGTCGATCCTCAATCATCGAATTGTTGTAATTTCGGACCCATCCCCATAACATGGCGCAGTGCCCAAAGCCCGTGTTGGCAGATTGTTGTGTTACGATCCGGTTGATGAGATGGGAATCCTCATGGTAGTGCTCCTGTGAAACCATACATTTGGTGGATTTGAATCTCGGAATATCTCGGAATGGATTCACGGGGAATCGATATCTCGGAATATCTCAGGTTTTGCAGTGCCAACCAGAAACAGGACTTGTGCGATTTTCGGTACTTGGGAAGATGTCTAGAGATTTGAAAGCGCTGACCTCACGTGGCACATCGCCAGGAGGTGTCTGGCTTTGGCGACCTTCCTGGGCCACGGGTGAAGGTTCCGTCATTTTTCTCATCCTGTTGGCCGGTGCATTGATCATCGCCAGGAGGCTCCTGTATCTTTTCAGCCTCGGTATCTCCAATGCCCCAGGGCGACGCTTTTGATCTGGGCTCTCAGGTGACGAGAGCCACGGTGACATTTCTTTGGAATCAGTCAATCGTTAGTATCAAAATGTATCAAATCAATTCAAATCGTCAACTGTCAGATGATTTTGAGCTGATTTCTGAGCTGATTTCTGTGTTTTTGGCAAGGCCATCGCATGGTTTGGTGAAGGTCATGAGTTGGGTGTCATCAATGCCCAGTGCGGTGAAGACCGCTGGCAGGACGCTCAAATTCCCTGACACCGAACAAATCCTCAGGGCTTGGCCAAAGGCAGAACGATCGAAGCAAGTTGATTGTGGTTTAATCTTGACCCATCTTGACCCATCTTGACCCCTGAAAAATCTGAAAATGTATGGACTATTATAGACTGTATATGACTGTACAGCTTAACCAAAGAATGACCAACATTGCAGAGGGGCCCACTGAGGCTCAAGTTTCGGGATCATTCTGCTTGGCTCCCGGCGTCAGCCCCAATTCATCAGAGGGCGAGTTTGTGGATACATTCTGGGCGGTCAAACCATAAAATGCGTCCAAGGAATCCATGATGCATGAATCCAAGGAATCCTAGTCTGTTGATGTCTGTTGGTCAATTTTAGGAATTGACATGATTAGACCATGATTAGACCATCTTCGGGTGATATTGACATATTTTGACCCATAGCCGGATTTCTACAGTCTCGGGTCATTTGTAAAAACGACCAAGGTGGGATTGCTGAAGGAGATTGACATCCAGGCAGGAGCACAATCTTCATGGGAGAATATGGGAGATGCGCTTTGAGTGACTCGATTCCCTCGATTGGAATCTGAGGTGGAGCTGCAATGTGGGAGCTGCTGCTTGAGGTGTCCAAATGGCTCCTTTAAGGGTGGTATCTGGCTATGTCGCAGCTGCGGAAACAGCGCTCAAAAAGGAAGAGGAACTGACGAGATCGAAATCACACGTGAGCCACAGTCATCATGCCGTGCACGACCTTGCTATCTTGCTGTAGGGTGTTGGTGGAGTGCCACGAGCATGTAGTGAATGTAGTGTGAATGTAGTGTGCATCTCCGACAAATCGTTCTGCTTTTTTTTCCACAGCCGATCAGAGTCGAGTCCAAAATCCAGACGAATCACTGGATCCAGTTCCGGATAGCAGTGGTGGCCATCCACTACGCTGATGTGATGGTTTCAAAACGATGTTTTTTCAATGTGAAAACCAGGGGATTCCAAAGTGTTTAGCCATAGCCATGCAGGCTTGTCTGAAAATAGGGTACCTCATTCCATCTCATGGTTAAACACCTGATTTTCAGAATTGCACTTTTTTTGGGGGGGTAAATTAAAGCCCAATTCTTGAAGAACCCAGTTGGTTACAGACGAAATTCATCTATTTTCCAGATATATCACATAATTATAATCTATTTCCAAATTTCATCATCTTTTCAGATCCCAATATTTTTCCATAATTATCATCTATTTCCTAATTATCATCTATTTTCCAGATATATCATCATCTTCTATTTATATATCTTCATCAGATCCCAATGATGGCTGGCTCAGTGGATGCCCATCATGGCCTGTGCCGCTGACTTGGCCTTGCAGTGGCTTCGCTGCAATCGGCGACTGGCAGAGGACAAAACACCCGTTTTTCATAGGAACAAATTATCCGCAATTATTGATTATTGATATATATATATATATGTATATGCTTACACATATTGTTGATTTCCCACTAGGGATATAGTTACTCAGAGGCCTTCCCCAAGAAAAACGCGGAACGACGACCTGGTGACTTCAAGTTGAACGACCAAGGAATCACAAGTTTACCACTTGGTCTGAGCTCCGAGAACGATTTCCGGACTCAGCGATTCTGGCGGGAGCGGGGCCTGAGACACTGACGTACAATGAGACACTTGGCTAAAATGGGAATTGGGTGTCGTGTATTCCATCATACCTTAGACAGCTTCAGACTTTTTAGATTTTTAGATGTTATTCTGTATGATATGGCATAAATCTGAAACTGGGTGCCAAATGGCCCATCCTGGGCAGTCCGCACGACTTGGTGTGGATTGGGAAAAGATTTGCGAAGCAACTGTATGCTATAGCCCACATACATTGTGTGACATTCCAAAGTGGAAAGACTAGGCATTTCTACCATGGTACATTGCGGATATTTCAATTGAAAGACAAATGTGTCTGTTATACATGTAGATAGATGGATAGATACACGCAGTACGTATGACATTATATAAATTATATACCCTCTGGTTATTTAACATAGCCATGGAAAATGGTCCATAGAAATAGGTGGATTTTCCATGATTTTCCCAGCTATAAACCTCCATATTTATTTAAGGGATTTTCCATGGCTATGTTAGTCATAACCAGATGGTACCATATGGCAGTGTGTCAAAACCTTGTACCCCTGGTGAACATCAAAATAGCTGGTAAATGGATGTTCATCCCCCTAAAAATGGTACTAATAGGTATTGATCCATACCCATATGAATCCATATTTTTTTTCATACCAGACATCTCAGTTTATCTCCTGGGATCCAGGTTGCAAGCTTTGGTGAAGGGTGTGCTGCGCCCCAGCTTCGCTGCGGCTGGGTTGCGTCCTGGTGACCGAGTGGCGGCCTTGTTGCCAAATGGACCCGAGGTCAGCTGTTCCAAAGTCAACTGCTCAAAACTTGCTGATTTATCAATATTTATCAATATTGTTATCAAAATCCATGTGGACATGACATGATTTTTGATAAATCATATTTATATTTGTCAATCATGTCATTTCCACATGGTTTTTGGCATTCTGCATGGGCAATCTGTGAGAACATTCGTCACGGCCTAAACGGGAACTCTCCCCGTGAGTTGCGTTGCCGGGGCAGGCTGCGGTGCTGTTTCTGGGAAGCTTACTCTGCGGCCTTTGCTTTGGCCCATTGGATCCCCAACTCACCAAATCTGTGCCTCGCTGCCGAGCGGAAGATTCGATCGAAAAGAACACCACCACTTGGTGGATGAAGATCCGGTTTGATTGGATGTTTGCATCACAAAAACATGGATAAATTGGATAATGGATGATCATGGATGATCATGGATGATCATGGATTTGAAACACCAATGCCAGTGTTTCTTTGGGCGGAACGAAAAAAAAAACCTGCACCGAGGAGCTGGAATTTGCCTTGAAAGATCTTCCGGCACGAGCTCTTCTGTGCGGCTCTGAGTGAATGATCGATGTATCCTGAAAGGGTAACGGAAACTTCTGCCAACTTATCCCTCCAAAACTATATCATGAATTTTCATGAAAATTTTGTTGAGAGTTTACATTTAAGTTTATTTGTTTAGATGGGAGTGATGATACATCTATCCTCGATATAGGATTTACAAGGGTTTTTAGTGGATTCATCATCGTGTTTATGGAAGATCCAGAGCCAAGTACTTCTTGCCATTGACGCTTTGAGGCTGGGTCAGTTGAGCTCTGTGGTTGCATCGCTGGCCGAAATGCTGGCGAGGGATTTGGATTTGACCCTTGGTGTGGAGAAGGGGATAGATACTTGGGATGATAGAAGATACATGAACCACACACAGATATTTCTATATAAATCATGAAAAATCATTAGATATCAAATCAACCTTGTGATATAGAATCACATAGGTCGATATATGGACGTCAAATTGTATACATGTAGATGCATTCACATAAAAACAATCGAAAACTGTAGAAAACTATCTAGAACCATCTGAAACCCTATTAAAGCCTACAAAAGCCTATAAAACCATATAAAGCCCCATAAAACCATATAACACCCTATAAACCCTATAAAACAATCTAAAACAATCTAAAACCATCTAAAACCATATAACACCCTATGAAACCCTATTAAACCATATAAAACCCTATAAAACCATATAACACACTATAAAAACCATCTAAAACCATCTAAAACCATATAACACCCTATAAAACCCTATAAAACCATCTAAACCAATCTAAAACCATCTAAAACCATCTAAATCCATCTAAACCATCTAAAACCATACAACACCCTATAACACCCTATAAAACCATATAAAACCCTATAAAACCATACAACCCCCGTATAACACCCTGTAAAACCATATAAAACCCTATAAAACCATATCTAAAACCATACAACACCCTATAAAACTATCTAAAACAGTCTAAACATCTAAAACCATCTAAACCCATCTAAACCATCTAAAACCATACAACACCCTATAAAACCCTATAAAACCATATAAAACCCTATAAAACCATACAACCCCCGTATAAAACCCTATAAAACCATATAAAAATTCTATAAAACCATATAACGCCCTATAAAACCCGATAAAACCATCTAAAACCATCCAAAACCATACAACACCCTATAAAACCCTATAAAACCATATAACAGTTACTATAACACCCTATAAAACCATATAACACACTATAAAAACCATCTAAACCATCTAAAGCATAAACACCCTATAAAACCCTATAAAACACAATGAAAGTGGAGATTTTCCGGTTTGCATTATTCGTGACCAGGATTCGGTTACGCCTCGCTGGATCTTTATCAACACTCCACATAGAGATCACGACGTCGAGTGCCACGGCAGCGGAACAGCTGGTGCCAAGGTCGATGTCGGATGTGGCGTTGGCGTTGCACACCAGTGGATCCACGCGACGACCCAAATTGGTCCCGTTGTCCCATGAAAATCTCTGCAGTGGAGCCATTTCAATTGCAGACACTTTGAAACTTCAACCCGAGGATGTGGTGATGAATTGCTTACCACTGTTTCATATTCATGGCCTGGCAGTGAATGTGCTGGTGCCAGCCATTGCTGGAGCCACTTCGGTGTGTTTGTCAGGCACCTTTGATGCTGTTGCAGCAATCAAAAGATTGGGCGCTGGTGACCCTGCGATCACTTTGTACTCGGCAGTTCCAAGTCTTCATCAGGCGCTAGTTACGTCTGTGATGTCTCTAGAGTCACCCGAGTTTCCTCGGTTTCCTGCTCTCCGTCTGATTCGCAACTGCTCTGCCCACCTACCGGCGGCGTTGGCATCTGCCGTGTCAAGGAGCCTTGGGGCAGAAGTTCTTCCGACCTACGCCATGACCGAATCAATGCCCATTGCATCACCAAGTCCGCGCCACGACAGGTTTTCGACGCATCGGACGGTGGGTTTTGCTGCAGGTCCGCAAGTGGCCCTGTTGACGCAAGGAGAACTCGAAGCTTGGGGAAAGGGAAAGGTGGGAAAGATGGAGGGAAAGATGGAGGGAAAGGTGGAGGGAAAGCTAGTGGAAGATCTCAGTGCAGGTTTGACAGGAGAGGTGTGTGTGAAGGGCTCTTGCGTCACACGTGGATACGAAGCGCGGGGTCATGATCCCAACTTGGATGCCTTTGTGGACGGCTGGCTGAGAACGGGAGATTTGGCAACAGTAGCAGCTGATGGTTTGATACTCTCAGGACGCTGCAAAGAGATTATCAACAAAGCGGGTGAAAAGTTCTCGCCCATGCAGATTGAAGATGTGTATTTGCAGCATCCCTCCATTGAAGACTGCGTTGCCTTTGCTGTTCCCTGTGAGAAGCGTGGGGAAGCCATTGGATTGGCCATCCAGAGTGAAGCGACCGATCGCTTCGCAGAAAGGGGCAGCAAAGCACAAAACCCCTGCAATCTCGACACTTGCTGGTCTCAAACCAATTTTTAATTTTCAATGCAATGATGATCTCCAAACAACTTTCATAGATACTTGTAGAATCTTGTAAAGCATGATAAACATGCACATGCACTGAATTACATGCTTATTGCTACACACTGCTGACAAGACTATGGTTCAAATCTTGACAAATGAAGGTGTATAGTATATCATGATATATCATGTATGTACAAATATTATTGAAATAACTATATATTATGGGCATATCCTATCTTTTCTTATATATATATATATTATAAACATTATATCATAAATGATATGACATCATGACATGATTTCTGGACCGAAAACGCAGCCAGGACAGCTTGAGGATGTTTGGCCGTCGCACCCAGGAGCTACGCATCGTAGCGTTGCCAGACTGCCTGGTATGGCTCCGGCACCTGCCACGCACGGCCACGGGGAAAAAGCTGCGGGTTGGCCTCGCGGAGATCTTGGGGATGCCCAAACTGCAGGGTGACCATGGGGAATGGTATGCCACAGATGCCACAGATGCACTGAGAGATTGCAGAGATCCCAAAGAAACTGCTGGATATTTATCATCTTCATCACAGACGAGGTCCAAGAAATATATTCTTCATCCTGCAGCACGCTTTGCAGCTCCAGAACTTTCACCAAAAAGCGGCGCGAAAAGTGTCTATGCTTTGGTACGTCAAACAGCGATGGAGTTGATTCGATGTGACTTCCAGGATAACCAGCCACTGCTAGATCTGGGAATCGACTCATTGAGCGCAACCAGCTTCATCAATTCTTTGGAGTCGCAACTGGACATCAACCTGGCAGGCGGGTCTCCCATTCTGCTCCACTCACAAATCCCTAAAGTTTGTTAGTGACAAGCTTTTGTTAATGTCAACATTTTACACTGACAGATTCTTGGCAAGATCCTCATGAAACATCTGATGCACAATTTGTGGCAGGCAGAAAAACGGCTTTCCGTATGCAACACAATGTGTGTGTGTGTCAGAGATGTCATCAAGTCATATGTCATGTTTCTAGCATTCCGAATTGCAATAGGAGATGAAGGTGCTGTGGCCTTTTTGGACAAATATCCATCGCTGGAGAACGTGCTGACGGCAATTCTAAAAGCACAAGGAGTGGCAGAAAAGGACGACACAGTGGATGTGGGGTCCAAGATGTCCAAGAAGGTTGCTCAGCTTCGCTATTTTGGTCCGGGCAGACCAGATTTGAAGCAATTCATTGTAGATACGCGAGATCCAACTTCCCTGCTCTATGCTGCACAACATGGAAGGGAAGAGATGATTCGAAGTCGTTGCAGGGAGAGATGTCCTGATGAAGACGTGGATAAGAACGGTCTCACAGCATTGCACTATGCAGCTGGCCGTGGTGATAACAAAATTGTGATTCTCCTCTTGGAATTGAAAGCTGGTGTTGACACAAGGAACAAGGATCTACGCACTCCGCTGATGTGGGCAGCACGAAATGGTCGTTTGGATGTATGTGAAGAGCTAGTGCGAAACAAGGTGCCTGAGAAAGCTAAGAGAAGGATCTTGTATAACTTTACCTATTTACCTCGCGAATCCAGCAATTTGAATCCACCAACTTGTTTTGCACAAATTTGCAAGCTCCT